ATGCGCAGTCCTCCCGCTTCATCTATTGATGAAAAAAATAAAATTAATAACCAGATCATAGGTGGAAGTAGTAATATGTGAATTACGTGACTTTTATGAATTATTTTATTGTTATATTGTTTTTTATTTTGTTGTTATTATACAAACATAACTCGGAATAAAACTGCAAAAATATAAATACGTATATAGTAATAATACACAATATCAGGTATGAAACAATAGTCGAGCACAAGTGGCGACTTTAAATTTTGTCAGCTCTTTAGAGAAGGGTTCGTTAAGTTTTTTTTTTTTGTCTATCAAGGTAGTACATTACTCCTTTTGATAATGCATTCTGAAAAAAAGTCATATGTGTATCGCAAATATTTTCGGAATATACGTTAAATTTACGATAGTAAAAATGTTGCACAAAAATGAGCAAGATTCTATATTTAAAAAAAGGTAAGCAATACAAGGCCATTATAAGAATACAAGATTCAATACAAGGACCTGACAATCATATTATAAACCGATTATTAATATTGCATGATACACAAACCTCCTTGAAAATGCATATGTAGCTTAAATTATTTATTCAATCTACAAATTTTTTCTACTTTTCTGCCGAAGCTTTAACGATTATTAGATCTTATGTCTCGCGTGGCGAATTTATTAAACTTTATTAAACAATACGTATATATCTATGGATGTTAAACGTTGATGAATCGTGTAACCCATAATCGGATTACTTATAATGAACTAGAAAAACTTTTATGCAATAATAATAATAATAATTTGATGATACGATTAAAGGCGAGACAAAAGAATTTTTTGAATCAAATCTTTTGCCTACTAATAAAACTAAAGCAAACAGATCATCAAAAGAATATAGTTTAGGATCGGGTACAAGCAGTAGTTCTATGGATGATAAAGAGGAAAAATTAAGCAAAGAAGAAGTAAAGGATACTTCATCTTTTATTTTGGTTGGGGAAATAAATGATTTCGAATCTTCATCCGGATCTGGTGGTACTAATGAACCGGATTCACCCCCTTTAAGTATGTCAATATCTAACGTTGTTGAACTTGAAAGAGGAAAGGGCTCTTTAAAGCGAAAAAAATCAAATCGTTCTATATTTTCAGTATTGTCTTTATCCAACAAAGATACAACAAATAAGGGTTCTTTATCAGAATCTGAGGGTGATCCTCTAAAAACGACATCACCCAAATCACCATCGAAATCTGAAAGAATTTTAGGACGTTCGGGGTTTTCCTCTTTATCTATAAGAAATCGTCGTTCTAAATCCACTATATCCTTAGATGATAAATTACATATTTCTTTATCACCTGAACATTCTAAATTAGGGTCATCTGATATTCCCGAAAAGACTTCAAAAGTTGGAAAACTTCTTGGTTTGACTCCAATGGAAGAAAGGATATTATTGGATAAACCTTCGAATGGTAAAATTAATAAAAAGATGCGCAGTCCTCCCGCTTCATCTATTGATGAAAAAAATAAAATTAATAACCAGATCATAGGTGGAAGTAGTAATAAAGTTAATAAAATTCTTGGCGTATCAGACATACATGATGATCCATCGACATTAGATACAAAATCAAATAAGGCAGGAAAAATTCTTGGATGGGATGATAATGAAGTAGTTAAGAAAGCATATATGGAAAAAGTAGTATCTGAATTTAGATCTTCTCGTGCGAACGTTAATAGTCATGTCACTGTTGCTAGTATTCGTAATACTTCAGCATTTACTGGACATTTGTCAAAATATATAAACACTAATTTTGTTCTATCAAAATCGAGATCGTGGAAAAGAAGATTTTTCATCTTAACCAAAAATACTTTATATTGTTTTAAGTCAAGTGATTCGACGGCTATTTTAATGGACAGTTTGGAATTGGCTGCAAATACTATTGTGTGTGTTAGTGATGCTTTTAATGGTCGATCTTGGGTGTTGGAGGTTAGAAAAGACAATAAACCGTGGTATTTACAAGCAGACAATGTTGAAGACATGAAGATTTGGCTAGCAGAATTAAAGGCAACAGTGGTAAAATGTAAATATAAAGAACAAGAACTACCCGATGTTCCCAATCATTTCTTAAAAACGATTGATGATGATGAAGATGATGGTTGCGGAGATATATTTACAACACCAAAAATATCGATGGAAATTCCACCTACAGTAGAGAAATCTTCTGAAGAAAATAATAAGACCTATGAACAAATCTCTCTTCCTCCTCCGCCGAGACCGATCCCTCCTCCACTTCGATCGAAGTCTCGTTCGCCTTCTCCTACAACAAACTTGACATCACCAATTCATCCATTGTCACCTCACCTTATTGTGAATGGTGATGTAGAAGAATTTATTGGGTCCCCAACGAAATTAGACCAGAAGACATCAGAATGTACATCACGTCCTTCTTCTCCAGTTGAGACTTTATCACCACCAAGAACGAGGCATGGTCAGGTCATACCAAATGAGCACGCAACATATTCTGACCCTAATGATATACGAGAATTATCACATGTGAGAAATGATCCTGGCCCTATGAATATAGGATCATCAATAAGCACAGTTACACCACCTCGTAAACGTCTCTCTCCACCCATAAAAAGGGAAGAAAGAAATAGCATTAGACAAAGTATTCCGATAATTATGCCAACAAACTTTTTTAAGACAAATCAGCATAATGCTATTATAGGGACATCATTACCACCACCTCCTCGTTCGTCAAGATCACCTCCTCTTATAAGATCTGAAAATTCATTTACACCAGAAGACCTACTATCTATTAATCAACTTGGACCTCCACCAAGTATTCCCTTACCTTTACCTCCTCCTAGACCAAAATGTACAATAACCCAAAATTCAGTACCTAGATCAAGAATTTCCAATGATACATCAAGACCATCATCATATGATAGAGTAAAAACATTAACACCAACACGTTTTACAAATTCAAATCTCATGTCTCGTACAATGATTCATCCACCTCCTTCTCTCCCACCTCCGACTATACCATTACCACCGATACCAGCAGAATCAACGGACAATGATATATCAGTGACACGTAATTCAACATCCGTTATAACTGAAACAATAATTGAGTATCCCGATGATGACGATTTAGATCCGGATTATGCAGAAGAATTAGAGGCATCCCGTCAAAGATCACAAAGGACGGAGAACAATACTTCAACTACAAAAACTATTTTCTTTACCATGTCTGACGTAGTTGATTAAAAGCTTATAAGCCTAGCTGAGTTGATAATTTCGATGCGGCTAAGCCGGCTTAGTCGACTATGATCTTCAATTAAATATGCCAATATGCCACTAATAAGTTATAATCCGGAAACTTTCACTGGTCACGTTCGTATTTATGTTGTATAATATTCCGAAGTAAAAGAAAAAAAAAAAAGAAAAAAAAAAAAAGGGAAAGGGAAAGAAAAAAAAGGAAAAGAAAAAAACGTTGCGTAACATTTCCAAAATTTAAAAAAAAATCGTTGCGCAGCATTCTTAAGTGAAGCTGCGGTGATACGATGCCTGTTAGACGTAGCCGTCGATGATCATAGCTAGAGGTTGAACCGGGTTTATTTTTCTTTTTCAACATTACGCTAGAGGTACGTCTGTGTATGTGCGCAATTTACGGATTTTATTGGTTGTTTATAATGCGGTCTGTCTATCTGGTATTTCTAGTATATATATTAAACCCGATTTTAACATGAAAATAAAATCGGTTTCAAATTTATAGGTTAACTTTTTCTGATTAATTGATTATTTACAATTGTATTTATACAGTTTAGAGTATTTTTTTTTTAAATATTGTTAAAACGTATTTATAGTGTTTTATATTTATGTATATATTATCTTAAAATTTGGTTAGTCCGGTGTATGATTTTTTAAGTAAAAATATTTTTTTCAAATTTAAATACATATAATTTTAAATACTAATCTTAATATAAAAAATTTTAGTTAAAAATTTTATATATAAAAATTTAAAAAATTCAAAAAAATATAAAAAATAAATATAAAAACACTGTAATATACTATATATACATATATACAGTAATAAGTTTTTAAAATATATAGTATATTTATACAGATATAATATATTTTTTTGAATATTAAGATAATGTTTTGAAATTATTAATTATATACTGTATGTTTTATAAATAAAAAAATAGGTTTATTAAAATGTAGTATATTTTTTTGGATATTGCTAACTTGCCTTCTGATTAACATCATCTTCTTATTATAACTCAAAAACGGCTTAAATAACTATGTTTAGTATATTAAGTAAAAATATTGGCCTTTATCCTACACCTCTAATAACTTCCAGACTATGTATAAACTGTTCTTTTGTTTTTATAATTTGGCAATCCTGCCTCTGTTTATTTGAAATTAAGCTATTCAAGAATTATACATTTCTATTTATAGTTATTGTTAATCTAACCAAACTAAAGACTCACTTCTGGCTTTTGCCTAGGTGCAATCTGCCTCAGTAGTTCTTGGCCTTCTTTCAGATCCTTAACTTACTAAGAATTTATTTCCCTTTGGTCATTGGCTGGCAACTACCCACCTTGTTAGTACTATCTAATTATATTTATATTCCACAACGTAATTGCGCTTTGGCCATGGTCAGTACTTGAAACAATGCAAAACATTGAATCGTTAATCTTAAAATAAGATTATTACATTGTGTATTTTTTATTCTATATATTCAAAAGATTCTACTATTACTTAATTTTTTTTGTGATCTTTTATAGTTATCCCAATTCATCTTTTTATACTTCATTTCCTTTCTTTCTACTAGTAGTCTGCTCTGGTGCTTCAATCTTTTATTTTTCCTTTTCTTTTTGTGTTTCTTCCAGTTTCTAAGCTTTACCTTATTTTTTTTGCTCTTAATAATATTTTTTATACAGATTTCCTCCAGAAGTATTCATCTGTAGCTCTTTTCTTCTAGTTTCTTCGATACTACAGTATTATATATACGAAAAAGCAACCAAAATTTTTTGCACAATCACTATATGCAAAAATTGATATGGCTTTTAAGCGAATTCATGAAGCTACAAATGAGTGAGAAATTTGTGTATATTATATAAATTTATATATTTTTTTTGTTTGTTCTTTACTCTTTTGTCTGCCTTGAAATTGAGTTCGTTCTTGGCTAATGAGTGATTCTTTCCACCTAATTTTCCATTAATTTTAAGAGCAATATTTTCGCAAATTTGCATCCATTTCGTCCTGTCATGCTTTCAGAAATAATACATTGTGATATGACACCCAATTTAACACCACAATTTTTTTTTATTTGTGGATGTATTTCAGAAGCACCATTTATTTTCTTTGAATGATACATATTATTAATTAGGGTGGCTTAATTTTGTTGGAAGATATTGCATTTGTGCAGCAATTATTAACGACTTTTTAAATAAAAATAAATTAAAAGTCAATTAAATCAATCCAATAATAATTCAGTAACTTATAATAATAATTTAGTAATTAAAATTTTATATTTACTTTTTTATAATCGCCTTGGGGTTACCATAGTTGATTAATGGTGTTTTGTTTTGTACATTCTATATAAGTGAAAAATAAATAATATTAACTCAAATGCTAATATGCTAATATATGAGAAAATAAACATAATGATCAAATTATAAATACTTTCCAGGCCTTTTAAAGATAATGCTTCCACCAATCGTTTAATTGCATTTTGGACACGAGACTCAGGCAAAGTTGAATACAACAACAGATCAATTGTATAATTTAGCATCCTAATACAGTATAAACCAAAAAATTTTTATTAGAATTAAATTTGTTATTGTTATTAACAAAAATAGTTAAATATACCTT